ACGTACTAATAGACATAACTTTAGGTGCGTCTAATTTCACTGAGATTGACCTACTGAGGTCATCTGGCTGACTTGGAGTATGCAGGCGATATTGTGTTGCTAGATGAAGACCCTTACAAAATACAGTCTTCTGAACGTCTTGAGCAGAAACCTACTTATGTTTTGCGTGCGTTTTACTGGCACCTGTCAAATATAAGATGATGCACCAGGAGTGATCTGCAACCACTCCCATCCTTAATGATAGGGAGTGAAATGGTGGGATGTTAACCACTTCATTTACTTGGAGGGTTGCATCAGCCCGCCGAACAAGCTAGTGGTTGACGAAATCTCAGCTCCAATGTATAAAACGCGTTTGATATTTACCAATTTGCGTCACCTGTGGCGCCAACTGACCAGATATCCGACTATCTATCAAACGACGAATATATTGCGCTACAGTCCGTTCTGTCCTGTTGCACGACTGTAAGGCATGACCGTACAAAGTAGACGACATGAAGCGGTTGCTGGAATTTGACCGTAGCATTGCTTGCGCGTGGTGGAATTACCATGTGAGCAATGTTTAGGTCAGGCGAAGGATACTAGGCAAGACGGTCGAAGAGGTTGTAAACCTTCATCGACTGAGGCAGTTTGAACATGTATTGTGCACCCCCAAGCCACAGCTTATCTCGATGTGCAATGCTAGGGGAAGTTGGAATCGGTTAAAAGGATTCAGGTTCGCCTGATGAAGACGCAGCATCAGTCAATAAAGTCTCCTACTTTTGGTTTGAGCCGTGTGGAGAGGTGTAGACTACCCGATTGAAGTCCCTGAAACGATAGGAATCAATGGTTGAGGACTCGGTGAAAAGGCTAAAAGTCAGTGACGATGACGCAGATTTATTCACTCCTTGACAATTTCTAAAGCTTAAACATTCGCATTAACCTTTGTCTTCAGATTGTTTTTTCTCTCACATGACTTTATCTACTTGAGTATCACTTTTTTATGTTCACCTTTTCTTTGTGTACGTATGTGGAGGTTTGCAGTTTGAGCCGATTTACTTCTGTGCTAGGCACTACGTTGATTTTACCAATAAGTCAGTCAATATAGGAATTGGCCTAATGAGCAAGGTGCCAAAATCCTATGACCATCTGAGTCTTAACTGAAACTCGGGAAAAGTAGGTAGGTTTCAGGTCTGACTGTCGGTGTATCGATTACATCTTCCTTCTTTCAGATCTTGGGGCTCAGGTATACTTGTGAGCACTCAGTACTACCTGCTTTTTGGCACGAAGGCGGTATTTCCAACATTATCGATCTGAAAGAGTCGCTTAGCTAGCACACAAGCTTATCAAAAGTGAGATGTGTGTACTAAAACATGGCGTTAGTGTATGAAGTCCTTGACCGTTCTTTTGAACTATGTAGGGCAGTGCAAACTTGCCTGTTGGGGTTCACGGGACAAGATAAACCGGTGGTTGGAGACTAGGTAATATGGCTCAGAATCCATGTCAGTGGCGCTGATGCATATGCACATTATCCTCATCCTAACTGCTTTACTTAATCTCATCTCATTCTTCCTTCCTCTCTTACACTACTTTCTACTTTCACTCCCTTTGACAGAATTCTCTTTGCTTCATCTTCCATTTGATTGCCTTGTTACTTGGTGTGGCAATTTGGACCGTTATGCAGTAATTCCTGGTCCTGTGTTGATCTTGATGATGTATACATCAGGTGGTATTCATCATGTACGTCCATTTTTAGTTAACCTGATCATAAACGTACCTATATAGATCTCTCGCTTTGTCCCACTGCAGGGATTAGTATTTTTGTACGACATTCTTCATCTTACTTTAAGTATTCAAACATCATAGTCTTGTTAGATGAAGACTAACAATCCATATAGTCCCCTAAACACCTCATAAGAGAATGTGTGAATCGTGTTTTCCACCTCCTGAATGCATATTATTGTCTTGGATTTGTCTGGGTTTATATTACATTTGACAGTATGAAGTAAAATGAACCAGTATGTTATCCACTTCACTTATTTCAAAAGTTCTATTGAGCGTAGTTGGTTAGTCTCGGCAGAGATAAAAGTGGCCCGATTGTCTCTAGCCAATTTGCTTCAGTTTGGTGGGGAGTTGGCTGCGTTACATAAACGCTTGAATTTCGTCAATCAGTGCTGAGTTCATACTCTGCTCCACCAACTTTGGTTTAAGTAACAGGGTATTGTCATGACCCCCGCTCACACTTCAAGTGTGGTTTTGCACACTACCTATCATGTAATTTACATTTTTGTTTGCTGAAACACTACACATGTGGGTGTTCAGCTTGTCAAGGAAGCGTACCTTACTGATATCACCTTTCAATTATCATATATAGCACAATAATTATGGCTGATATTTTGAGCATCAGTAAAATTTTTATTTTTGTAACTATTCGATTATTTGAAACGGGTGTACATACAGTGAGATATTTCTTCTCAATTACTACTGTTTATTTTTAAGTATAGTGATAATCCCCCTATGTGTAGAGTGTTGATTAGAAGTTTGTCTTACAGCAAACCTGCGCGAAACCTTCAGAAAAAACTCCGACAGATAAACAGAAAAACTACCCAAGTTCCTAGCCCATATACAAAGTAATTTCGGGTTCTTCAGATTATATTTTCAAAGTGAACTGGCTATTTATCCTATGCTCCAGACTCTGGGCGTGTGCAGTCCGAGATGTCGGTGATAAGCTCCACAATAGTTGCTTTTCAACACAGCTATTGTCAAACTTTATGTGGCGAAATCTAAATTAGCATACATTATTCTAGTCCACCCATATCACTATTACAGTGTTCGTTATTTTTAAGAGGATCATAGTATACAGAACTCAGTACCGATCGTCCTTTATTTTCTATTTGCTGTCTTCTAATACTAATGTATAAAAGATTCCAAACAAGAAATCATTTCTTCAACAGCTACGCTTTCATCCAGCCTTTATAACTATTACTATTAAAAATGTTCCTTTTCCGATGCAAATTTGAAACAAGAAGTAATGAAAAGCAACCAGAATTCGTTGGATTCATTAGTCAGCAGAACTTGCCAGCTAAATACTCTATATATATTTTTATATTTTGTTCCTTGGATTCCTAGTGAAACATGGGTTCAGTAGCACGTCGCCATTTCACTGTGTTCTCTTCAGTCTTTTTAACCTGGCTCAACGACTGCACACAAGCTTTCATTTCTTCTTCACACGATCTCCTCCATGTCACCCTCGCCTCGGACACCCAACTCGTCGTTTCCCATTTGGCTCCCCACTCGAGGGTCTTGCCTGGCGCGTGATGTTCTTAAATGGTCTTCTCAGTGTGAGTCCAACCCAATCCAATCCATCTTCACTTTCTTCTGCATATTTGTTGGGCGACAGTTTCTTGGTTGGTTCGTTGCCAGCCAGAGTGAGTTCCTTGTTGCTTATTCCTATTATTCTGGCCACCTGATCTTCAGTATTGAGCGCAGGCGGTAGCTGTTGATGTATGTCTGTAGTTTGTTGGAAATGCTTTTCGCAACGCACCAAGTCTCTCAACCATATAGAAGAACTGACTTGACTGAATTAGTGTTGAAAATTCCAATGTTGTTCTTTGTGCTCAGTTGAGTGCAGTGCACATCTCCACACTGATTTCAGGTTAATGAAGGCCCTGTCTTGCTCTTCCGATCCTGACTTTGACATCCTCATCTGTGGGGCCGCCTGTAGTTGGAACGATGCTGCCCAGCCCAAACAGGTGAGAGATATAACTTCCTTTAGATTTCTTCCGTCAATGGTGATTGGTGCTTGTTGTTGTTGGTTGTGTATCTTCACCACCTCTGTCTCCTCTACGTTCACCTGGAGGAGGTTCTGTCTTCGCTGCCTCGCCTCTTTTGCCAACTTGTTAGTTTTCGCATGTAGATCTTCGAGCTTGTGCAACATTAGACATAAATCATGATCGGCGAAATCGAAGTCTTCTAGGCTCTTTTAATCGATCAAACAGCGTATACCCATCTTCTCGCTCCTCACGGTTTGTTGCATGATCCAGTCCAGTCCAGTCGACCACAATCAGGAAGATCACCGGTGATAGTAGGCAACCTTGTCATACTTCTGACTATGTATATACCATGGTGCAATACAGGAGTACGCACGCGAAGCAGAGACTAAAACATGAATTGAAGTGTACCTAAGTAGAGATAACAATTTTTACAGGTCATGTAAAGATATGAGAGCGTTGAAGATGTTGAAATTGATGATGAATAAACAGGTTCAAAATACTTTCTTATTGTAAATAGAACAAGCAATTATTTGATAGGAAGCTTGATAACAGTGCAAGGTCAAGAAATGGAATACAGCAATAATAATGTTGATATCTAGGGTTAAAAATGGGTCAGGTTAAAAATAAATTATGCCAACTTGAGCAGAGCCGCCAGTGGTTAAATGCGAGACTTAGTATCAATGTAGAGCTAAGACGTCACAAGTAAACTAGATACATTCCAAAGATAATAATGATAACCATGATCATAGTGTTGAGGTTCATGAGACGAAATAGCTTAAAGGGGACAAACATGTTTCGACACAAAATAGGAGTAGTGGTGACACTACTTTAGATTTGGCACTTAGTAGTTTCCAACTAACCACCATTCCCATCTGCATCCACGGGTTGTGTTTTGTCAAACTGAACTATACTAGCTTCTGTGATTCCCGTCACTGTGTTCTACTGAAATTTGTATAGGACTTGAAACTGTCAATACCAAACCCGTAGTCCATCATACGTTTCGTTATTAAGCTTCACAGATCGATCTGAATGGATAGAGTAGTCTTGCTTTTAAGATTATTCATAAATGTATCATATTAATACAAGAGTTAGTTGAATGTGACAGTTTATTGTCTCTCTCTCAATAACATTAGGCACCTGCTAGATTTTGACACTTATTGACTATTGTGGTTAGGTTTATTTCGGAGTCTATTTCACTGTTAATTGATCGTCATTATGAGAGATTTATTTTTTCTTCCCTGAATTATCTAGCACCTGCTGTTCAGAGAACTGGATTATTGCCATCTATTCACTGGACGATTGAACGTATCTTAGCTGCTGGTATGTTGCCGTTATATCCGATTGCACTCTACATGGACACTCCAATGATGAATTTCATAGTAATTACTGCTGTTTCAACCCATTCATACTGGTGAGTTAAGCTATTCTTCTGTAACTTCTCATAAACACTTTTTTTGATGGGTTTTTAAGATAATGTCTAAGTAGCTTTTGTGTGGGATATTCAGTGAACCCCTGTGTACTATCCTATACTCGTGTACAAAATCTCCAAAACAGTATTTTTACATGGAACTTGAAACTACTGAATTTTTAAAAGTAGTCAGTTAAGTAGTTGGATACTTTTTATCTTCCATGACTGACATTACTGACCATTTTAACGCATATATAACACTTTTACTAATAGAGTAGTGGGTACTACTGATAAGAATGGATGTATGTTGAGAGATCGGCAGAAGTCATAGGCAATTACCAGCGATGGGTAAATACTCTGTCCAGAGAAACGTAAGAGGCAATGTGGACATATGAACAGCGAAACAAGATAGAAGCAGAAGAGGAAATGAAGCACACTGTGCAAATGACTATTTTAACGGAAAGTGTACAATGTATCATCAGTACTGTAAAAAGTGTCATAATAAACATCCTCTCTCTTGCGTCTCATCCTTGTCGTTTTCTTACGATATTAATAGATTTTCCTTCATGACTTCTATTTCCAGCTTTCACTTGAACTACTTACCATTCAACACTCCAGTCGACTCGACTTTCGTGGAGCGTCTGAAGTGTGACTTAGGAGATAAGTGCCTGAAAAAATTTCTCCTCCACTGACACTTATCTAGTCACTAGGTAACTTCATGTTATACTGTCCTGGTGTTCTTGTTTGTTCAGATCTGTTTACGATTGTCGACTGGAAATGTTAACAGTTTACTATATGTAAAAGGATGTAGTCACTAATAACCTCATTGTTAGATCTAAAACGGCGATTGCCAGACCCCAGTCTCAATGTCTTGCGAACTCCAAAAGTTAAGAACAAAACAGTTGAGTCTTAATATCAAGGTGATACTATAAATGGTGATTATAAACAGAATAATAGTAAAAATTAATGCTTTCATTTGTGTGGGCTAAATTGATAACAAGGAAAACCAAGATCTTCCCAAATAATTTATAAATAATGTACAGTCAATGTTGGCAGCTTACTCCTCCAATAAGCAGACTAGTCGATGCACGAAATCTATCAAAGGAAAAGAGGCATAAGCGAGTGAGGCTCATAACAAATATAGCAATAGTGTCTGTCGAATGAGCAGGGTAGTTGGGTAGTATGGGATTGGATATTACAAACAGTTTTTTGGGGGTGAGGAAATAGACCCATAGACACATAGTTATTAAATAATCAACCATGTTGTATTGATCTCGATGGCTAGCAGAGGAGTCCAGGACGCACGTTTCGTCCTACCTGAGACTCGTCAGCCGGATGTACCTGTATCCCAGTGAGTGATGTTGTCCACACTGAGGCTCGAACCCAGTACCCTTCACTTCAAACACCAGAGATCAATATAACATCATGAATAGTCAGCAGTATCGAGGCATCTGCATAGGGGACCATCTACCTACAGGGGTGGAGCAATTTAGCCCTGTGTAGCAACTGGAAATTACAAGTACCATAGTAATATTTATCACCTAATTTTCAACTTGGACTGAACATGAGGATTACTTAATAGTATATAAAAGTTGTTTATCGTTCATAGCGGGGTTTAAAAAAAACTGAATCACATTGGAATACAAATTAAATATCTATACATGTACATGTCGTCTAGGGAATAAGTGTTTTAATTTTTATTTTGCTGCAAAAATTTACAAATTAAGCATTGGCTGTTTTTATTCTACGTGAATCGATTGTTTCTGTTGGAAATCATTTTTTTCACCTCCAACTGACTTCATAGCTTCTTCATTAGACATTACTATTTCACGGTGTAGTAATCATTTTGCTGAAATCGAAGCATTTCTTCATCTGTTCTATTTCACTTTTCAAATTTAAGCAAAGTCAGGTTTCTGTGATTATATTTTGTTTAACTGAAGAAGTGGAAAGTGTAAGCATCGAAAAAGTGAATTAAAAGCATGCGACCAATTTATTTAGAGAATGCTTACTGATTAGCTTTATGCGGTCGAAACCGTGAATCATCAATAATTTCAGTGGTTGGTGGTTGTGTCATAAGACTTGGCGTGTAAGCGATATACTGTTCCATTTTTTTTTCAATATCTCGCTTAAATCCTTACTTCCAGCTTCACATGGTATGTTGTGTCATGCATGGAATTCGATGTCATTTCGGGTTCTAAGTTGGTCAGAAGTTATAATGTATGAATTTCCATCCACTAGGAAGCAGGAAATGCCTTGGTTGTGTATGGTATCAAAATAACGGAAAATCACTCAACATATATAAGTAACTCAGTAGCCTCACAGTTCATCCACTAAGCTGTGAATCACATTTATTGTTTGAGTGATATATTATATGTTACTAGCTAGCTTCCCCTGACCTCAGTGGGTGAAATCCTTCAACTGATGAAATACACTTATTTACTTATGAATAAGTACAGTACATGTATCAGCGAAGAAATATGTATTTTTTCAACAACAATATCTAGCTATGCAGTCGTATTTAGAATTGATAAAATGACAGATAATTGCACTAAAAGTTGCTCAGTCAATATACGAAATATACAGTTGGTGGGATTTATTCATGTAGAAGAAATAGAAAATGGGCCACTGAATAAGCTAGAACGAAATGATAATAAGTGGTGAGATAAGGGACAAATACTGTTAAGGGAGTGTAAAATGATGATAATTGAACTAAAGCAGACAAAATGGATGAATGAATAAGGAGCGAATTGATATTAAGTAGTGAAATATAAGTCGAATGGTGTCAATGATTGAAAATTGGTGATAATGATAGAGAGGAAGTCAGCTTAACAGGTAAGCATATGATATCGCTTGATGTTTCTTCCTTATTTACTAATTGTCCACTGGTTATCTATGTGAGTACATTGACGAGTCCAAAATAGGATGAAACGCGTGTTCTGGATTTCTCTGCTAGTCACTAAGGTCAATATAACATCATGAATAGTCAGCAGTATTGAGGCATCCGCACAGGAGCCCATCTGCCAACAGAGATTGAGCAATTCGGCCCTGTATAGCAACGGAAAAATATGATTGTCATCACAACAAACGATACCTGTTACACAGGAGGTTGCTATCGTGCCCCAGTGGTTTAGTAAGTAGTGTTTTGGCGTTTGAAGCGTAAGGTACTGAGTTCGAGCCTCAGTGGGAACAACATTACTCACTGGGGTGAAGGTATATCGAGCCGACGAGTCCCAAATAGGACGAAACGTGCGTCCTGGATTTCTCTACTAGTCACCAAGATCAGTATAACATGATTTTGATAATATTAACATTGGATTACCTGCGAGCTACCTAAAAGAACTGATATTAAAATGTACAGTTCAGATTCAATGATGTAATTCATAATCAGATGGCCGAAGTCGCAATGGAGTCTCCACTATGTTCTGTCCTGGCTGATATCTGTATGGCAAAGCTCGAGAACAGGCCACTTAAAGAAATAATCTCAGAGTTTTATTTTGATAGAAGGTAGATTGACGATAATTTTCATGTTTGTAATGAAACATGTTCAGTGGACGAGCTGCTAAGACGTATCAATGATTTTTACCCGTTAATTAAATTCACTGTAGCAGAAGAGTTAAATTCAGTGTTCCACTTTCTAGACGTAATCTTAAAGAGAAGAGATGATGGCTCGATTCAGTGGTCAGTCTATTGCAAACCAACTTGAACTAGTCACTTCACTAACTTTGGGTACCTCTTAGTTGTAAAAGAAATCTCATTCATTCTCTGTGTTCTGGAGTCTATAAAATCTGTTCAGAAAACATGGTGGATATTGAAATTGAAACTCTTAGAACACTATCGAACAACGAATACCCTAAAAGATTTACTGATAAAAGCATGAAGAAAGGAACCACTCTCCAACCTATTTCTGTTCCTAAGAAAATTTTAATCACGAATCTAGAATTCTCAAGGGACACTACAGCTGAAATTCTGAAAAGCAGTCTATCAAAGTATGTTAACAGTACGTTTTATGCTGCTAGACTGTGATTGATTTTCCCCAGCCGTCATCTGATTCGACAATGCGTAAAGGATAGGCATATCCAAATCTGTGTGTATCTACAAACTCACATGTTCCTGGAGAGCTGACTGTATTGAATGTTGTAAGTGAACCTTTCGAAAACGTATCGCTGAACATCATCTGGTTTATAATGATGGATAGTGGCTAGCACTGGAATCTGGGATGCGCATTTCGTCCTATTTGGGACTCCTCAGCTAGGTGTGCCTGTTTCCCGGTGAGTGATGTTGTTCCCACTGGGACTCGTGAGCGACCGCTTCAAACGCCAGAGCGTTATCCACTACACCACCGAGCAACGATAGCTACTTATTGTGCGACGGCTATGGTTTTTAGTATAATTGTTTTTATATCATACCGTCGTTGATTGGACCGAATTGATCGGTCTCTATTGGTATACATGGGCTCTTGTGCGGATGCCTCGATATTACCTGTGCTCTAATGATAGTAATGATAGATAGTGGCTAGCAGTGGAAAATAAAACCATAGCCGTCCCACAATAAGTGGCTATCGTGGCTTGGTGGTGTAGTGGATAACGCTGTAGCGTTTGAAGGGATCGCACCCGAGTCCGAGTCCTAGTGGGAACAACGCACTAGGAAGCAGGTACATCCAGCTGACGAGTCCCAAATGTGCATTCTGGATTCCAGTGCCAGCCACTATCCATCGTTACTATCATTGGAGCACAGGTAATATCGAGGCACCCGCACGGGAGCCCATATGCCAATACAAACCGATCAATCCGGTCCAACTGTATGATATAAAAACAACTGTACTATTATCTGGTTAGGTTTATCAAAGGCGAGCGAAAAAAACAACTTCATCCATATGTGAACATCTAGTAGAGTTAGGTCATTCAACTCCTCGAGATTCATCCTTTAAGGCAATTTACAAAGTTAAATTGAACTACTCCAAAAGTCTACGTCTTCACCACTTATGCATATCTGAAGCATTAGCTGTACATGAACAAAAAACGAAACTCTGCATTCAAAAACATTTTGTGAAACCACTTTCTTTACCTTAACTATTCATTTTGGTCATTTTATCAATTTCATTTCACTTCACTTTATATACTTCTCTTTTATTATCATTATCACCAGTTCTCATTTCATTGACAGCATTTGGCCCATATTTCAATATTTAATATCAATTCATTCCTTATTCAATGACCCATTTTCGATTTCTTCCACTTGAACACCTATCGTGTATTTCATATATTGTCTGAGTAACTATTTAGAGCAATTATCTGTCATTTTATCAATTATAAATACGACTGTACAACTTGATAGTGAAGTTGTTTAAAAAGAATTTCTTTACTGACACATGTCTTGTGCTTATTCATGAATGAATAGGTATATATTGTAAGCTGAAGGACTGCAAAGACCTGATGTCAGTGAAGGGACTTCACCGGATTCCTTCGTTATGCTGTCAAGCTTGGGCAAGCGAATACTAAAATCGATCTACTGAAATGTTTTTTGTAAATTTTGTTGTTGCAATTTAAAGTCGTACGCAATAAAGAATCTATCAATAATCTTCTGGAGCTGGTCTGGACATTGAATTTCAAACCGATTGGTTGTGAGTTCGAACCCGACTCCACCTACCGAGTTCTGAGTAGTATCATTAGTCCTCACAAAGTGAGTGTGACTTATCGCCTATTGCACGAATGTGCACTAGGTTGACGAGTGGATTCCAATTTAAACAATCTGCACATATTTTTCAACTGTTGTTTTTAAGAAGATTAAATTAATATTCGATTCACCTTCGAACAGGTCCTGTAGAAACGTATGATCAAGCCTTGAATATGTCTCATTGGCTTAGAACCTTCCCCACCTATCAAGGTCTAGACAACTAGTTATTATCATTAACCTTCACATAATAGATGTAACTTACTCCCTACTACACTAGCGTATGTATGGTGACTGAGTACTCTTCGATTTTTTCTAGATGTATATCTGTAGTCAACAAAAACGTGACATTATATGTATACATCTTCAACCTGATTGGTCCTCCTCGAAGTTCGTTGTCACTAAAGTTTAGTTTAAACATGATACTGTTTCACTATGTTGTAAATAAATGAATTCAATGTGGAATTCGTTCCTCTGATCTTTGTATACACTTCGATGTCGACGAGTGAAATATAATTTTTATGTTCTAACTGACTGCTAAGTGGAATTTAATTTCTTTCTCTCCTATTTATCCTTACAGGGGATTTGATGGAGTTATTAAGGACTATGCATTCGAACGTCGTTATGGTCCGGCATTGATGCCTATATTACGCACCTTATGGAAAGTAATAGCTGGCTTCGGTTACGGTGGCCTCTTATACTTCAACTTTAATGATGTAGGATTTATTTCAGCTGTTAAAAGGCTTTGGGCATTATAAAAACATATTTTTCGCCTACAGTATTACTTTAATTTTTCCTTGATCTCTGTAAAATTACATTTTGAATTCGAATATTTTCTAAATAATTGTCATTATTCACCAACATCTGTGTTTCTTGGGTTGATTAGTTTAGTGCATTACCATGTAATAAATTTGACTACCCTCACCTGAGAACTAATTGACAATAAATCTGTTTAAATTTGCGAAATTCTTCTTGCTCTATATAGAAGCAGTTACCAGCTGAAGGTATTATGAACGTCATATCTTACTGTACTAAGACATTGAATATTGAACATAATATTCGATGCTTCAGAAACCAAATCATCCCTAAATATCTACGTCTACATGCACCAATTTCAACAAAGTCAAAGCAGATATAGAACGGGTCAGTAAACTCTGTCTTAAAGAATAAATTGATAGAATAGTCAAAAAGTTGCACGTCAGGAATTATATCGAAGAACTTGAATGTAAGCTGATGGACAGCTGCAATAAAGCAAGATCAGCTGTACTCAAGAAATCTAAAATAGTCAAATTAAGAAGTTCAACGAACTTATGGAAGAAAATTATGCAGTCAACAATAATGAGATTAATAATAGCACATTATCAATGATCGATAAGTCAAAGTGGGTTGTCAATCTCTCAACCACAATCCTAACCTCAACAGAGATAAAAGTGCTAGAGAAAGGCCTTAACTTCAATGTAGCGGCTAGCGAATTGAAACCAGAAGGTGTCATTCCCAAAATAGAAATAGCGTTAAGTTTTAATAGATGAGATAATTGCAGATGATGTAAGAGCGCGAAAGAAAGTGAAACCTAATTTACCCAAACCAAAAAGAAGCTCTCAGGAACTTTCAGAATGATAATAATGTAGTAATTACCAAATCGAATAAAGGCAACTCAATGGTTGTAATGAACAAATCTTACTACATCTGCAAAGTGAATGAGCATATAGAAACGGGATCATATGAGGAAATTAAGAAACCAGTGGATACTAATATGAACAAGGTTAAGAAATCTACAGGGGATCTGATACGCCGAAATGAAGCCATTTCTAGGTGAGTCAAAATGGTTTAAATTAATGCCGAAAACTAATAATCTCAGTAGAATGTATGGTACTATTGAGATTCACAAACCAAGTTATCCCACTAGACCTATCATAAATTTTAGAAACCCTCCAGCTTACGAGTTGTGTCTAAATATTTAGCAATGGTGCTAGACTCAATAAGAAATCATTAAAAACCCCAACTTGCTAACTCTTATGACTTGAGGCATCGAGTAAATGACCATAAAAAAAATGGTTAGTTTTGACATTACTAGCCTTTACACGAATATATAGTTTTGCCTTCATTGACAAATTACATGATGTTTTGCCAGTTTTTTTGGAACAAAATGTGCTGAATTGAAGACTTGTTAAGATGGTAAGTCACTGAGTCATAAAGCCGATTGACAGAATGTTGGCGTCATTTATTTTCAGAATTTTAGATATCCAAGTTCCGCTTCTCATCGTTACACAGTTGAACAGTATTACCACTCGAATAAATAATTTGTACTGACTATGATTAGAGTTATCACACACCTACCGAAGAAGAACAAGAATTCTAATTCGTATTTTCAGCACGGTTAGTAAGTCACAGTCAAGTGACAAAGCCAGTTTAACCAACCTCAATGATAAATACCTGCGTTTACAGTACCATTTAGCAAGATAACCGAAAAAAACACAGAAACAATGCCATTTCTGTCAGCTACTGCGTACTGGATTCACCTTCAACATCCAGTTGAAATTCAAAGAAGAATTCTATGTATGCAGAAGGATGAAGTGGCCGTGAATCCCGTATTGTTCGACTTCTAGCTGGTTGTTTCATGATTTCTATTAAAAGTGATGTCCTTAATCTACTAATCAGTTAACTATAGTTTTACGAAAGGTACATCAATGACATTTTTATTATGCGATGAAGAAATTGATTTGAGCAATCTCCTCAACCTTGTCAGTCCTACTCATTCATATGTGAAATTCACAATAGAATGAAACAGATTCGATATTCATATTTCTAGATGTACTACTGACATGAAAACTAGATGCTTCTATTTAAAGATACAGAAATTCAACGTGGACTGGATAATTTACCAACTTTCAAAGTCATTTCCTTTCCATTACCAAACAGAACCTTGTACGAATGCTATGTTCAAGGATTTGAAAGATGTTTTATGAAGGTACACTAGATAATGAGCTAGAATTTCTACTTACCATCCCATTAGGAAACGACTGTCTACCTAGACTGGTTGACTGTAACTTGAAAGTAAGACCACAAACAAAAATTATCGACCGTCTCAAATAAAACTCTGGAATTAAAGATGACTTTGCAGTTGAAATCACCTATCAAGATGTTTGAGAAAGTCATATTCTCCAGTAAACAATTCATCAATCTGTTATGAACAATGAATTGATTTTGACCACTTCGATGTACATCTATCACTTCACTCGTTCCTGTAGAGGAATATACATTGTCTATACTTAACGGCAAGTCCTTAAACTTACTTTTGAACATTATCGAGCTTGGTGACCCAGTGGAGAGTGAAACGATGTCAACAGTCATATTCTTGAACACCTCATCTCCGGGCATATGACCCTTCTGTATTACTTTCTCCAAAGTAACTTACAGAGTGTATTCCTACAACTATGCATAGCCAAGTTATTAGCGATTCACAACCTAAAACTTGTTCTTTGTGTTTATAAAAATTCAGTCCATTCATTAGCTTTATCAAATCTGGGACAATAATATCTTTCTCACTTTAGAAATAACGTTTTATTATACTCTTGAACTTTGCACTTGTTATATGACCCCGTTATTTCTTTTCAGTGCTTGTAAATATTATTGTACAAGTTTAATAAATGAAATCGTCGAAAAGAAAAACTTTCTTCACTGTAACGTCTTTGTTCGATGACTCAGTGTAGGGTGTTTTCTGTTTGATGACCCATAGTTTTGTAATATCAGTCACAGTAATATTCATCCTTATAAGTACTACTCACTACAAACCATGAATGACTAATGTGAATGCTATCAGTTGTGCATCAAGTTTACTTTGGTGCTTATTACACGTTGACTGCAAACATAATGAGGTGACTATGGCGCCCATCTTAGCAACCAATAAAATAAGCAATTAGGTTTACTTATTTTGGTTCGACAGGTTGTTTAAGTAGTCGCTTGGACGGCCTTAAAAGTTACTCGACAGAATTTTGTTAAGCCTACCAGTTAGGCATTTCTTATCATCACAGTTTGTACTGTTAGTTCTAAACGGGACAGTTCCGCTTTCTACTTTCCTCAGGTGCGTAAGTTCTTCCTAATTGGTGATCTGCCTTAAACTGGTTTATACGAAGTGTCTTTAGATATCAGTCTATCAGTTTTATATCCCTGTATTGTTAATATTCTTTCTGTAGAGTGTATCCAGGTTACCGGGTGTAACCTATTTTTCGCCTATGATTTACAATTGATCTTTACCATTCTCATTCTGCTTTACTGAAGTGAAATCTTTTTACACCACGGGTTTTCTGATTTCCTAATAAGAGACTATTCATTGATGTAAAAATCCTCGAACATTATTTCTCACTGGACACACATTGGGATATGACTCAATGATTTAGAGGGATGACTATCAACCAGTGGGTTTCGGGTTCGAGGCCCGCCACGTCTACCGAAGTTTAGCCAGCCAGGCGTATGCTTTTCCGTGTTTGAGCTGCCATTTATATATTCATGTTAACTATGACTTATTCAACACCTGTCCAGTATTACGGCTACATTGCCTTGTACATATAACGTAGTGCAACTTCCGCACACGTTCGTGTACTAGGCTATGAGATACATTTAATTTACAAAGGATTATGAAACTAACTGGGTGACAAAGTCCACATAAAGGCGGTAAGGTTTGAACTCAGCACCTACTGCTTGAAACTTAAGTGTTTAAGCTGAAGAACCACTCTTTTATACGTGGTCATCTCAACACTAATCCTTCTATTTCCTCAGCTCTATGATACAAATCACAGAACTGACTAAATAGTTGACCAATGCCTACATCGGATCCTGCTATATATGTTTTAAAAAACCCATTTACATCGACATTACCATCTGTATTGTCAAAAATGGTCACTTTCTAGTATACTTATGACTTTTGATACTATGATCTATGTGCATTCATTTGCACACACAGAAGGATATAGAAAGGTTCAGTCTACAAGCGATTTTACAATCATGTTATAGTCTATCATTGATTAGTCTGAGATGGATCTGTGGCTTGATTTTTTAGGGACATGACATTCAACTAATGGGTCACCGGTTTGAATACTTCTCCACCTGCCGAGATTTAGGCAGTCAGGTAGTGTAAATAACCCTCACTCAATAGGTGTGCCTCACTGTCTACTGCATGAATGTCCACAATGTTGCTGAGTGCACTTCGATTCACTTTTTTCCACGATAAGTCTGGGCATAGATTTATATAAAGATACCTCTATATTCCGGCTGATATCAATATATACACGTCATACAATACATGGCTATCATAATTCAGTGGTGGTCAAAGAAATATATGCCTGGTTTGAGAAAAGTTACTCACCTGGTGGTAATTGTTGTCAGCTGATGAATGCTAAATAGGACGAAAAACACCTCGGACCACACTACTCATCATTATTATCAGACTGATTATCTAACCTTGGAATAAAGCAGGGAAAAGTAGCAGTAGGTTAGTGAGTCTTAATACAAATTAATAATTTATATGCGATCAGATAGAAAATCTTAAAGCTTTGCAGAAGTTAGTATCTAGAAGTGGTGATAAAAAGAGTTATAAGCACCAGTGAGTTGCGTAACAGCACAGATTATTAAAAAGAATCAAGCTAACAGTGATTAGGAATTAGTAAACTAGACAAAAACATAAAGATGATGCCTCAAAATTCTATACAATTACTGAAGTAATGGTTAATTATGGCTTTTGTCGGGCGATTTTAAAGGCCACCCTAGCAACTGTTCAGATAACCAATCACGTTACTTTATTTAATGAAAAACTAGTCTCTCAAGCGGAATATCTAAATCTGATTGGTTATTTCTTCAGTTGCTTGGGTGGCTTTTAAATTCACTCTTTTTGTCTATGTATGAAGGTTGTGTTGAACGTATCTGATTTGTAGAACTTCAGCT